TCACTATGAAATATTTTTACTATTACAGGAACAAATTTCAAACCTTTTAATTAATAGAAACTCAAGAATTTTGAGAAAATTACAATTAAATTTTTTTAGATTTTAGTAATTTATTGGCCTAAATAGTTTTTATGTATAATTAAAAATACGAAATTTGTAATTATAAGAAGTACTGTACAATAAACTTAAAATTATCTTTTACTTAATAGAGAATATTATATTTAATTATCATTGTTTTATATGTTTTAGTATTAAATAAAGATCTTTGTATAAGTATCTAAATATTACCGCAATTGGTTAAACTAATATCATCGAAAGAAAAATTCATTCCTTAATCATGTATACAACACATCAACTATGATATAGCTGCTTTATTTATCATCATTTCCGAATTTTTTCTTTACTTTCAGAGTCATAAAACAAGCTTATAAAGATGTTAGTAACATTCATAAGCCATTTCTTCATAAATGATCTCGAAAAGATATTTACCATCTTTTTGTAGAGATCTTTTATTTAAATTATTCAAATTTTCACATTATTTTTATAAAATTTATGTAAAATATTAGCAAAATTTATCATAGTTTTATTTTGACATGTTTTTAAGGCAATAATCCTTAAAACAATTATTTAAATTAGTTTCTAATTTTTAATATATATATTTTACTTTATTTTTAAACATTAATTTAAGCTAAGTGACACGTAGATTATGAAGTCGTATCTGAGGTTTTGTCAGTTTTGATTTTTGGTTAAACGTTACACACTTACAGAGGACCCTCGAGTGTATTAATGTAGCTTTGTTCACAGAGAATACATCCTTATCACAGAAATGATATTCCGTTATCTATGCAACTAAAACAATTGCCTGCAAAAGTCAAATCTCTAGACGAAAAAAATCATAGAAAAATAAAAATATGATAATCTGCAGGGTACAATACATTCTAAATTACTGTTTATCTGTCTTTTTACAATTTTTATATCAATGAATTATTTGTCAATAGGGAGATTACTTTTCCATTCATGTCAAAAGAGAACTGCCCCTTTTTTTCCCGTTTCGATTTTTTAAGAACAATTCAATGAAAACTGTTTCAAAAATTAAAATCAAAATTTTAAAATGTATATTTATTCTGTAGATAATATACTACTTATTTAAAATTAATAAGATTTTCTTGAATAAATGTTTATTTTTTCTTTCTTTCTTTCAAAAAACTGTACCGTGCTTACGTTGGCATACTTTTTCTGTTTACTGACAGAAGAAAAATAAGTAAATAACCAACAACAACCAAAAAAAAAAGAAAATTCTTTTTTGAATTTTATTGAAATTTCGTTTGGCATATTTTACTGTTAACATGCCAAAATTCTTTGTAGCTTCTTGACCAAATAAACTCAATTTTTCTTTTCTTTTTTTCTTTTCCTCTTTTTCCTATCTGGTTGACATTCTAAATTTATTGTGGATTTTTCTGGTGATTAAATGACGTCTCTTCGCCGTAAGATTAAAAGATTTTGTGCTTTGCAGTTAAACTTTTACATTTTCTTGTAAAATTTGCATATCTTGTAGGGAGAGAAAGCAATCAAATAAATGCCTCCAGTGAACCTTTAGAAATCTAAGCAACGTTCTTTCTAGCATAAAGTTATGTGGCGCCATCTAGGGCAACCATTACTGAACTGGAAAATTTACTATTTATACAATATCACTTTATTTTGTTAGTGCAATGTTCAATCTTTAAGTTTGAATGCCCTTCCCACGTTTAAGAAGCTGATTACTATCGTAGAAAGCATGGTTAACATTGTTCCACGTCGATTGGCTTATTTTGAATTGTGAAAAAACTTTGATTGGTTTAAATTGATTTATAGAATTACGTTCAAAACTTTTCTTTCCTTATTGGTTATTGAAATCTACACGTAACAATGGTTTAACAAACTAAGTATCCTATTGGTTTAAGAATGTTAAGAAGTTTCATACCTCGTTCAAATGTTATTTGGTCTATTTCGAATTATAAATAACGTTGTTTTATTTAAATTTATTTCTAGATTTAAATTTTAAATGATTTCATGAGTTTATTGATTATTGAATACTTAAACATAACAATGATTAAATTATTTAAAATCGTTCATTCTTTAAAAAATGCTATAACGTTTTCTTTTACATTTAAATTCGGAATTTTGATTTAATATTTCAAGTATTTAATAAATTTTAAGAAATTTTTTTTTGTGTTTCAAAAATTGTCTCGAAAAGGAAGAAATCTCTCTCTTTTATTACTGCAAAGATAATAAAAATAACCAATTTAAATGCAAAATACAATTTTTAATATCAAACAGAAGAAAAATGCAGAGAGAAAGAAGAAAAACAGGAGTTGGGGAAATAAGAAGTAGGGGAAAAAATATGAGACTTTGGTTTAGATTCTCCAACAACCTAAATGCTACTTAACACGTTTTTGCCTGGAGCACTTTGATTGTCTTGTCTTACTCAAAGTGAAATGCTGTTGTCATAGAAAGGGAAAGATTTCTCTAAAACTCTCCCTGTTTCGCATCAATACAGAGGATTCAGACATTTCAGATTTGGCAGTTATATACCAAAAAAACAGGAAACAGAAAACAGCATAAAGTTATTCTAAAATTATCAAAAAAATCGTTTAATGGTTTGCTTTAACATGCGTAGCTTCAATTTTCGAATAGAAAGATCCTAAATTTAAAAAAAAAAAAAAAAAAAAGGAATATTTTATGAAACCGAATCGGTTTTAATGAAGTTATTAAAAGAGAGCCGACGGAAATTAGAAACTAGAAATTGTTTTATTATTACTAATAGTATTTACTTATTACCGTAATTAATCCTCTACGGAATATAAATTAAAAGTTATAATTAAAATTTTTATTAAATATTTAATTTAAATTTAATTATTAATAGATTATCTAAGTTGGCTTTCTTAGCGTTGTATGGTTACCTGTAGAGAGTCGTGGCTAGACTATTCGTTATAGAGATAGCATCTTTATTAATTTTCTCCGTAAAACATCCATCTAAAGTAAGCATATTCAATCAGATAACTTATTTATCTTGTAATATTTTCTATATTTTTGCTAATTAAATTTATTCCCTGCAAGAAATTATTTATCAAAATACCCGTATCAAAGAGTTATTCTTTTTATTTTTATTTGAAGTGAGATGATAAAGTAGGATGCTGCAATATTTATATACAGTACAATTATGTTTAAATTGATATATTTTAAATCATTTTTTACTCGAAAATCTTACATTTCTTTCGTAAATTTTGGCTCTTCTATACGTTTTGTTAAAAGAAATAAATAAATAATGTGACAGATATGAATAATTGTAAAATAATTATTCAATATTCTTACATTTAAGTCTTAAAATATCAAGTAAGTCTGCGTGTCATCCAACCCAGATATTTCTTGTTTTACTTCGAAATGCTTCAACTTTAAAAAGTTCAACTCGACAAAATCGACAAAAGTATTCTTTTGAATGGCACCATCTTCGACTGAGACTATTTTTAGAGAGGTTAGACTTTTTGAAGCTACAATGAAACATTTTCCATAGCAGCTCGAATTTTCAAACATTTTCTGAAGGGTCTAAACCCTTTAAAGGATATGTAATCTTTTCTTTGGAATTTATAGAGGTACTTTGGCATTCTGAAGAGGTTATACTTCACGTTATAGGCCTATCTATAAATTATTTCTATCGAAAGTGCTCGAGGCCTAAAAATATTTTAAATTAAAGAGGATTGCTAGGTTAGCAACCCAGATATCCTCTTTAAATTAAATTATTAACATATACAACAGATAGGCTATATTTCTTCTCGTTCTTAGATAAACGGGATATAATCTATAGTAAATACTTAAATTTATTGCTCTTTTTCTATTAAGAGGTATAGTTAGATAAAAATCAATTTATTCTTAATTTCTCCATTGTTATCTTCGATTCTATACCCGAAAAGAAGTTATTATTAGAATTACTTTTTTTTTATCCTACTTTTAACAACCTATTTAAATGAAACAATGGCTTTTATTTCTTATTTTTTTAAATCAGAAACTTGGTCTTTGAAGCATCTTTGCGACTATTTTTTTTCTTTTTTTTAAGTGAAAGACCTGAATTTTAATAATTAATCACGTTATAAAGTGTAAGTGAATAAACACCGAAATCATTCGTAATTATTTTATTCTATTTTTTCAACGTAACCATTGACTGTAGCATTTAATTTTTGATGAATATATTCGATTATTCATGTATATTATCTTCAAAAATGTCATCATATTTAGAAAATCTGCTTAAAAATTTTAAATTTCTCCTTTTTATTATATTGATTTTTTTTTATTTGTTTGACTATTATCAACTTACGAAAGATAGCACACCATTCGATTTATTTTATGAAATTTATCGATTTTGACATTGTGAAAATAAGACACTTTCGTATAATATCTTATAGTACCTCATATTAAATATTATTTAATAAAAATTAATAATATCTTACAGTGCAAANAAACTCTGCATGTTTATTTTAACATAAAATTTATGTTTGGTAAATAAATATTTAAACAATGTACAAAACTTAAAGTATATTTTTTCAAGAAATTGTTTAGATATTAGAGTTTATAAATATATCTTTAATATTACAACGCGATAGTATGAAGCATTGTGTAGTTTTATAGAGCTGAACACGTCGTGTGTTGAAGTTTTAAGCGCTTTATTTGCGATTGGTATCTCACTTTAGAGTTTACATAATGCGATATTCGTGATGTTTATATTTAAAAGCAAATTTATATCCTCTTTTCTCTATTTTAGACGATGACAATTGGAAACAGCCGAATATTAGAGAATATTTAACATCTTACGACAGAAAAGATCTTTTTTTTTTCCTCCATCTATGCACTGTGTACTCCCACGTGGGGAGTTTTTGGCACACAAAGATAGGTCTTAATTCACATTGTGCGCGCGCGAATAAGTTTTGGCTTGTGGACAATACATAATGACGCCCACTCGAAATTCGTATGAAACTTATTTATATAGTTAACATCTTCGGGGTGCGAGAAAATTATGCTTAATCCTATATCTTACATTATAGAAGAGTGGAATCAACGATAAAACGAGATGTTCTTGTCGTGACAAGGAGGTGGAGTTAAAGTCACGAGGCTATAGCACTACTAAAAATACAGCTGGGATGTGCGCACATCTCAAAGGCTGTGTTCGGCAGTCGTGTTAGTCATGTGTCAACTCTTAGACAGTTTCATGGGGTACGTTCGCTAGTTCCATACATCGCTTATTCACTTCCATTCATACTCGTTTCTTCTCACAATGTCCGATAGCGGTGGGCAATTGACAGCAGGCCTCCAACAAAAAGACACGACTTTCACCAAAATATTTGTCGGTGGATTGCCATACCACACGACAGACAAATCTCTTCGCCAATTTTTCGAAACTTTCGGAGACATTGAAGAAGCTGTTGTCATTACTGATAGACAAACGGGAAAGAGTCGAGGTTATGGGTTCGTAAGTACAGTTTTTTGGATGCTATCAATAAAAATTATATGTGTAAATTTTAAATCCTAGATTACAAGATTTAATCTTGTGATAGACACGTGTCGGATCTGTCCCTTTTTACATATGGCACTGGGAAAAATTTAATCAAGTTGTAATAAGTGTATATATTTTAATTGACGAATAATAACTTTGTAACTGCATATTATTCATTGGCACAGAAATTTTGAAGAAAATGATGTAAAAATATACATAAAACAATTGATAGAAATAAGTATTAAAATTATAAAATGAATAATCAAATTATGTACTAATCATAATGAAAATTAATCAGAAATTAGGTAAATACTGGCAAGCAAATAATATCGACTCATTTTTTTATTGTAAATTACATTTCTTCGAAGAAAATTTAGAAAAAAAATATGATTTAAAAACAACGTTAACTGAGGTGCTAAAAACGAATATTTATCCATCTATCAGTACAGAATACAGTTTTCAAAATCGCAAAACACAGACTAACTTGGCGATTAAAGTCGAAGAAAGTCTAAAATAACTATTTGTTGGCAAAAGATAAGCCTGGAAGTGCCAGAGAGAAGAACAATTACTGGATTCAATTGAATTGCTTTTATTTCAATTTTCATGCGGGAACTATTTATTATCAACAGAAAACTATTTTGTCATATTTTTCATTTCGAATTTCTATACATAGGGACGTATAGACGCCCATGATGACTGCTTGCGTGATATATCAAGTCATAGGTCATTCTATACAATATTTTTTTTATACAGGTATTTCCCAACTTACATAGCTGATTCTGTGCACGCTATAAACTCATTCGGTGTTTCTAATCAAATGATATTTCTATTTACAATCATCAAAATAATTCTTACGTTAAATTATTTGCATCTAAAAATACTTATATATCAATTATATACTGTATATAAAGTTCCGTTTCGGATAGAATTAACCGAAATGTAAATAAATAATATCTTCATTAGATAAACGAGGGACAGAAATATAATTTTATAAAACTTTTTGCTTATTCTCCTATTCAATTTAGTAATATCAAATGTAATTTTTTTTCTTCCTATTCTGATTTATTATATTTGAAGATAAATTTTCTCTATTCATTATAATTCTCCTTCCTGCTAAAAAAAATCAATTGTATTATAATTATTTATTGAAAAAATTATCAACAAAGTTTAAATCCATATATATAAAAAATCTCTGAGAATATTCATCTCATTACTTCCAGACTTTTCTTTTATCCTTTTTATCTTCATACTCCGAAAATATAAAGTTAAAACATTTTGACTCAGACTGTAAAATGGGATATAGTAGAATCTTTAAATTCTATTCTTCCATTCATTCTAGCGGAAACTTTCATCACTTTCGAAAAAAGTGTAGTGGATGAGGAAAATAAAAAAATATAGTTGAGTATAAACGTATTTGTTTTTCCATCTGTCGCTATATAAGCCGATAGTTTCCGTAGGGAAAGCCATTCAAAATATTATTATTGTTGTCAAGCTTAAGCATCACCACGAAACATGCGATTGAACGTTTTCATGTTTAAAAAATGACATCATAAACAGCTTGCAGATGTTTCACATTGAATCATGATACTTAAATTATTTTTAATACGTAGAAAAGTACTTAGTATGGTATTAATAAATAATTTCTATTATAGTATAATAAGTTCTCTCTCTCGGTTGTATTTATATAATGAAGTAATTTAATTTAATTTAAAATATATTAGAATATAATATTTGTATTTTTTATGATTTTATTTGTCCTAATTCCAAGCAGTATCATCTGGAAAAGTAAGGTGTAAAAGTTAGACTGATAACAGAATCATTGGCTTACTAGAAGTGTGATAAGTGTTTTTTTTTTTTTTTAATTCCAGAATGTCAGATTTATTGAATATCTGTTTATGAGAAGTCAAAAAAAAATTGCGCATTCTACAAAAGAACAAAAAACATTTTCATTTAGTTGCCAAAATCGTCACGTGATTCCATTGTTTTATGCTGCCATAATTTGGGTAGAGACGTGCCGTCTAAACCAAAATATCTACAAGATAGCTAATTGAGGTAATTTCTTCATGCGACTTAGTCTAACTTTAACACTTATCGAAGGGAAGAACGTAAATACTGAACAGTATAAACAAAAGGAAGGAGTTACTCTCGAAAATGCTTCGATATGACTTTTAGTAGGACGATTACAAATTTTTACCATGTTTTGTACGGTTCTCGCCTCTATAATAAGCCTAAGTATGATGTTGGTCGACTTGTTTCCCGTTACTGCCCGAGAATGCTACTTTTTGGACTAATGCCAAGACTACATTGTTTTAAATTCTTAGTGCTTAGATAGCAACTGGCAGTGACAAGTAAGTTCACCAACAAACCGACGACTCGAGAATACAACCGAGTAAAAAAAAAAAAAAAAAAAAAAATACGCCTGCGACCAGAGAGGAAGGGAAAAAAAATTTTACTGATTAGTGCGGACATTTCAAAACTGTTAAACGTTAACCTCTAGTTAACTGTCATCAAACGGAGAGTGATTGGATTTGTTTATGAAGCTTCCCTCAACCTTTCAGTTTTCTTATGTTTTATAAAAGCCACCCACCGTGTTGCAGCCAAAGTTACTAACAAGATTATTCTAGGATCAAATGAGATGCAGCTATTTGCCTTAATGGGAAAAATGATAATAAATAATTTTATTTATTAATAAAAATTGAAAATTTTATTGATTAAGCAAATTCTAACTCTGAGAATCATTAAAAATAATTAAGATAATGACAATGGTGTGTTAAAATAAGTTTTTGTTTCAAGTTGTCTTTAGTAAAAACTGGCAGATTGATACTTTTCATAAATTCTTATGAAAAGATATTTTTTAAGCTGGTTTCTTCCTATAGCTAAGATTTTAAAATGATTTAACTTACCTTTAATTTGAGAAATTACAGATAGAGAATGCTTCCTATAAATCTAATCAAAGTAAATAAAATGCATTATTTTTAACTTTCTTATTAATTTATTTAACTGTTGAATATGTCTTGAACTACAGAATAAAAGTTGAAAGAACTTTCAACATTATTTCTGATTCATATTTTTAGCGAGAAAGAAGTCTATTTTACTACGATTTTATCAGAAAATGACAGTTTTACAATTAAAATTTGCTGCGTAACATTTATAGAATGAAGATATTTACTTTTAGTGTATAAAATGATGAGTTTTAATTGTATAATTTTAATTAAAAATTTACCATTTTATAAATATGAAAATACTAATTTTTTTTAATATGTTCGTATTTAAAAATCAATTCGCATTAGATAATTACATTTATTATGTAAGCGTGTATGCACGCGTTTTCGTGTTATTATTAATATTAAATCTAATCATTTTAAATATATTATTATTTAAAAAAAAACAAAAAGAAAGAAACTTTCCAATGAAAAACAGCGTAATATCATATGTAAAGTTTTAATTTTGATTAAGTTAGTTTTAGTTAATTTAAATGACTTTCTACTAATTTTAGTAAGTTATTTTTTTATAACGAGCTTTTCGAAATAGCTTTTTTCTCTTTCAAAATTATGAAAAATGATTTCGAACAGTCTTTAACCATTTAATGAACTGATATTTTTTTTAGAACCGAGGATTGTTTAAAGAATCGGAGTCTTTGCCAAATGTACTTAATTGCTTTCCTCTTTTAATAAGAACTGTTTCTAATCTTCAACAATTTCTTATCTTTGTAACATTTTCTTTCAAATTTGCTTAGAATTCAAATAAAACGCCCGGTTTTTATTAGATATTACACGTACGTAGTTAAGATTTCTTAAAAAAGATTACATCTATACATAGAGAGAGATTGGTCTAATCTTTTTTAGAAAATAAAACAATACACAAAGTGAATGAACTCTGATTCTTCATCAGATCTCATTCCTGGATTAAAAGAAGAAGAAGAAGAAGGAAAAAAAAAAAATACAGTAAATTAGAAGAAACTTAGCACTGTTTTAAGTTTTAGTCTAGTCTTATTTGCTAAATAATTAAGAAAAAAAAACAATTAAAATTACACGTAAATTATTATTAAATCTCTTATATATCTCGTTATCATCTCGGATAGAATACTTTGCCATTGAGTTATGTAGCTCAAGAGCAAGCTGGCAATATTGTAGAAAGAAAAGTTGGCATCGGAACTCGTTACAAAAAAGAATTAATATAAAAATTTCAAATAATAATTCGTCCAAAATGAAACACGAACCCTTAAGAAAGTTATCGTGTTAATTTTAATTAGTACGTATCTGAATGAGCAAGAAAACACGATTTGTGAAATCAATCAACATACAGAGTCAATTAGAAGTCACGATAATGTTTCCTGTCTACTACGTAAATATTGACGTCGATAATGAAAGTTTAAATACGTTCGTGAATGATACGATACTTTTATTTGTTTTCATCTCTTTTTAGTTAAGGCAAAATCAGATTTTGTAGTCGAACATATTCGCTTTAATGGGCTGAGCGCAATTAGAAGTTAGTAAACAAAAAAAAATCACACGTAACGGAGCTCTGGTCTTGTATTAATAAATACGGAAAGAAAAAATTAATTGAGGGATAAGTACTTTGAAGATTTTTAATAGAAATTTCAAATATAAAATATCTGAAAATCTTTGAGTTAATTAAAGATCATTTATACGTGGACGTTTCTAAAAGTTGTTTGTTTTTTTTTGGTTTTGGGGTTTTTTTTTACGCTTTGATCGAACTTTAACGCATATGCCTATGTCATTTTATACTTTCTTTTACTTTCACTCAGTTAATATGTTTGATCTTTGGATAAAAAGAAACAAAAAAATAATGTTAAGAGATAAACTCGAATGCCAATTAATTATCATAGGAAATTAATTTGTACTCGAGTAATAAATAATAAATTGTACGTGGTAAATAAGATTATCCGAATCGACAAATTCCGACAGGAAAATTTCGTTTATTTAAATGGTTTCTAGGTTATAAAATTTTAAATT